ATATAAGGCCAGCACTGAACAAATGAATAGCTTAACAGTTATAATATCCAGATTATGACCACAGAAGGACTGACCCCATAGTTAAATCTCCATTTCACCAATGTAGGATTGTGTATATTATAAATGCAGTAATTTAAATACTAGTAATTTAGACTTTCATATCACCTTTCATTCCCAAAGGATCACAAACTGCTTCAAGGATGTAAGGTACAATCTATAGTTTGTATATAGGAGAGGGCTTTTTTCTGACCCCTGAAATCCAGTCACTGCAATACTGATTAGGACCATGTCTATTAAAGTGTTTATATAATCACTGTTTTGCTGAAATCCCGAAGCAGGAGCCAAACAAGATCCCAGAGGAAATTTGTCAGTGCATGCTCACATTAGTACAGCAACACACAGGTTTGTTCCAGTGTAATCTAGATACCTCCCAAGGTACTTGCATCATGGAGCCTTTTACCTCAGCAACTTTGTTATCCCCCCAAATTTGAGTTTTTCCCTATTTCATCATTTTTAAAAAGTTCTGTTTTTTTAATGACAAATCCTCAAAATTGGAGTAAACCTCCCAAAGCCATGGAACACCAACAAAACAGCTCTGACTACAGCCTCCAGGCCGCAGTAAGCATTGCTGACCCCTGTGCTCTTTGTAAGACATCTGGGTAATGGACAGACATAGCAATGGATTTACTGAGCAGTCCTTTGTTTTGCCTACAAGTTCCCCTGCTGTATTGCTCCAAATAGAACAGTAAAGCACTGCACAGTGGCATGCAGAGTGCACAGAGGACCACCTGCACACCTCTATTTCCACCACTTGATTGAGGAGACTCTCAACTCTTCTGGTCAGATATTATGGATCAAATACTGCTTTGCATTCTGTCTTGACTTCAGCTGAGTTCCTTGGAGTGTAACAGAGAGCAAATCTTGCCCTTAGATGTAGAAATATTTTCATTAGACGCAGACTTACAGAAGTTAATAGGAAGTGGAGGTTCTTTAGTTTTCCCCTTTATCAGACAATAACATGCCATTTGCTCTTTTGGAAGTTTATAACTGGGCAAATGTGGGTCTGAGTTGCACAAACTCTTCACCTCAAGAGGTATTAGCAACCTTATTTATGAGGGGGATTTTTTTTCTTTTCTCCCATGGATAATTAGCCACTGTTTTTCCTTTCAATTAATAGAATAGCATTGTTTCAAGAAAAGAAAAGGAGTACTTGCGGCACCTTAGAGACTAACAAATTTATTTGAGCATAAGCTTTCGTGAGCTACAGCTCACTTCATTTCAAGGTAGTGTGAATCCAGTCCTCCTAGCAACTGTCATCCAATTATTTCTGATCTTTTAAAAGACAGCTGGGTTGATTTTGAATCTCTTCGCTGAGTAACAGAATTAAATTAAACCTTCATCAGGCTGACACAATGAACTTTAAAGCAGGTCCAATTAGCACATCTATCTTTTTTCTTTTCTTACCTTTGTCTCTCTTCATGTAAAATTGTCTCCGTTTGTGACAAACGTATATAGACCATGTTCTTTTAGGGGCAAAGCCTGTCCTTGCAAAGGCCCCAAAAGCCTGAAACGCAATGGAATCTTTATGGTGCTGCCCCGCAGCCAACAGGTAATGGGAAAGCAATGCAGAAAGCATGGAGGAGAGACAAAAATCAATCCAAGTGATAGATGTAATATAAAAGAACAAAATGACAACGACAGACAGACTGCGTTGCATTGCTCTGCGGCAGGGGGCAGTGACAAGTCCCAAGAAAGGGCAGGGATAGGGCTGGTAGGTCTGTAAAATTATATGGCTCTTCTGGTCAAAAGCTCCAGATGAAGAGACCATAGTTGGCTGCAGCTGCTGCTACTGTACAGCCCAGGAGTTGCAAAAACAGCCACAGAGTGACTGCCCAGCTGCTCTGCATTGTGGCTGTGGTCTGGGGGATAAGGATTGCATTTGCCAAACCACCCGGTTAAACTCCCCTGCAAAACATGTCTACTTAGTTTTTTTGTTTTTTGGGGGGTGGGGGTGGATGGGAGAGATGAGAGTTAGGAGGGAGTTTTGTCTCAATTACTCTTCTTTGGTTTCTTCATAGTTTGCGCTAAGAATTTTGGGCTTGATCTTGCAAGTCGGAGAGCGCTCCGGCAAAGTGTTGAATGCCCTCAGCTGACATCAGGGGGATTTGAAGATACTAGTACTAGATACTATTACTAGCCTTTAATCAATTGGTGTTTTAATCAACCAGCATGCAAGATTTAGGCATCGGCTTCTCCTGTTTAGAAAACGAAACAAACCCCTATACCAACAAATAAAACACAATAGGCTAAAGCACACAATTTTTGCCCAGGCAAGTCAATAGGGTTTGTAACTATGTAACTGAGAGCAGAAGTGGACCCTTTGATTGTGTTGAGATTTTTGCCTGTGTAAGGACTGTGTGAGACCAGGCCAAGTACTAAAGAACCAAGGCTTAGCGCACTGATGGCTAAAATATTTTGATTCTTGGACAAAAAACAATACAAAATATAATTTGAGTATCAGCATTCAGCTAATGAATTCAGTAGTTATAAATAAGCAAACTTTCATGCGAAATCAAACTATTATTTACTCAATATATTCCTTACACTTGACACTCTGAAGCCAAATCAAGAGATTTGCACCATCTACTGGTGAATCTGTTTTCTAGATTCAAAGTACATGAAACCTATTATTATTATTATAGAGCTTGAGTTTAAAACCATTTAAAACCCCATTATTCCTGTAGACATATTTAGTAGTCCATGTCTGAAAGAAGATTGTGTTACTTTGTCTGTGAATTATATCAACATATAGAGCAAATTCATCCCTGATGCAATATCTTTGAAAGTGACTGATTTTAATATAACTCCCATATAATTTCATCTTGAGTAAATTTGTTACACCAAAGCTTTCATCAAGGAAGCACTGAGGTTGTTACAATTTCAAACTCTGAAAGTTTGCCTCGCTCCATCCTCATGCTTATGTATTTGAATCAATTACAAAGTTAACAGCATGACAAATGCTGTTTTCTTTTACATTTATGTTACAGGTTAAATACAGAATAGTAATACTGGGCCAAAGTTAATTGCTACCCAAAACTTCAATGGAGCTGCGCCCATTTGTGACAGCAGTGTATGTGGCCTGCTCTGTATAGGTTCCAAATTACCCATCGTTACTGTTGATCCTAAACCCTCTCATTAGTTGGGCTATGATCATTTTATAGGGGCACTCAGTTGCCTGTGTCTCTTGATGTCTTACGTTGCATTTGACAGATAAAAGTCTTTTAAAGCTTGTAAAGACATTTTGCATCCTTTTCATTGCCCAATGCTTAGGGTGCTGGCAACAGGTGAGTTACAAGTGGATTAAGTAAAAGCAATAACTTTTAATTACAATAACTGAGAAATAGGATTCAGAGTAGCAGCCGTGTTAGTCTGTATCCGTAAAAAGAAAAGGAGTACCTGTGGCACCTTAGAGACTAACAAATTTATTAGAGCATAACCTTTCGTGAGCTACAGCTCACTTCATCGGATGCATCCAACGAAGTGAGCTGTAACTCACAAAAGCTTATTCTCTAATAAATTTGTTAGTCTCTAAGGTGCCACAAGTACTCCTTTTTTTGAGAAACAGGATAAAATGTTTATTCAGCAAATTTAACAGGAATCGCTGTAACATTAAAAAAGGAACTCATAATTTTCCTTGGATAGTGATGTATTGATAAGAGGCAATTTGGGTCCAAATTTTCAAAAGTGGCCTCTAATTTTGGGGGTCTTTTAATAAAGGTGTGACACACAAGAGTGATGGGCAAGAGACCTGTCTTTATGTCCCAGACCCTATCACATAACTCTGACACAAGTGGTCATCTATGTCCTGTTCTTCAACCATGTTGAGCACCCTCAACACCAACTGAAGACCATTGGAACTATGGGGGACTCAGAACCTCTGAAAAATCAGGCCCTCAATGTGTTAAAGTGTGCATCAAAAAATTAAAGTACTCACAATTAAAAGGTTTCAGAGTAGCAGCCGTGTAAGTCTGTAGTATCTGCAAAAAGAAAAGGAGGACTTGTGGCACCTTAGAGACTAACAAATTTATTTGAGCATAAGCTTTCATGAGCTACAGCTCACTTCATCAGATGCATGAAAGCTTATGCTCAAATAAATTTGTTAGTCTCTAAGGTGCCACAAGTCCTCCTTTTCTTTTCACAATTAAAAGTCACCTTTGAAAATTCAGCCCTGTGGTGGATATGTAAATAATGCCATCTACTGGTACAGTTTGGAGCACAGGCTAAGGAATGGGCTCTGCATTTCTGTCTGGTTAGCATTTCACCTCCCCCAGCTGTGACAATTTGAATATAATAGAGTAGTAGTGTAGTGCTCAGGAAGCAATATGAAAGTGTGTGCCTTTGAGTCAGTCTATAAAGGGCAGGGAAAACATGATGTGTGTAACTCCCCAGGCACCATACTGGAATTCTACACTCATGCTGCCTGTGAGTAAGCGCGCTGTTTTTTGGGGTTTTTTTTAAATAAAGATCCTTTGAGAACCATTATATTTTGTTTTCCTGAAATGGGGAAAATGTCTGATCTTGGACTAATTCATTCAGGTCTCTAAGTGAATAAGCTTTCATTCTGACTATATGCAGAAATGCAAAGACTCAGGACCAAGCAAAATTTTAAATTATATTTAGCTGATCTTCCCCTTTTTTAGAGGGATTTGCAGTTAAGAAACCTTTAGCCTGACAAGCATGTATTCCATGGCCAGAATCTATTTAAAGAATTGTCAAACATCTCACAAAAACCTTTCCTGATGCATCTAGCTTCATTTTCTTTAAGGGATGGAACTATCTGAGAATAAGAGACACTCACGCTCTATATAAATTGGCTCAAGAGGAAGTGCTTTGCTTGCTACTATCCACTATATGGGTGTGCCTATATAGGGCAAAACCTTCTCACCTTGCTCAGACAGGCAGTCCCACTGATGTCAAAGGGAAAACAAACTGAGCAGAATTTGACCCATCATTTGTTCCTTCCCCCAGTTCTGAGCTCCATCCAGTTCCAGGGCCACGTAGGGAAGGGCCGTGGTACAGTCCCGGACGCCACACCAGTGAGATATTTATAGCTAGTTAGGCCTACTGGAAAGACAGAGGAGGAGCCCGCCCAACCCTTCCAGGGGGCTGCGTCTCCCCCATCGGCCCAGCAGCCGTGCCGGAGGACAGGGCTGGGGGCCGTGCCGCCGCTGGAGGAGCTGCCTGCGTTCTGCTCCTTTCCCCGCTGGGAACCACCTCTGGCGGGGCTGCTGTACAGACGGAGGAGGCAGGGGCTGGCAGCGGCCGGGATCCTGCTCCTTTCCCCGCCGCGCTTGCCTGGAGAGCCCTGGGCGGCCGGAGCCGCGGCAGAACACGAGGCCCCGGGGCAGCCCCACGCTGGCGGCTCTACCGGCCCCGGCCCCGCACCCCCGGCCCTGCCCTCTGGCAGGAGGACTCAGGAGACACAGCGGCACGGAAGGGCTGGGGGCGGGGTTGGGGGCAGTACGGTCGCCGCGCTGGAGGAGCAGCCGGCGCGGGGCTGCCGCTGCTGAGTCCTCCTGCCTGGGGTCCGCACAGCAGAAGTTTCCAGCGCAGCGGGGCGGGAGACAGAGTCCCCCTCCCCCCGCAGGTAACGTGGGGATGGATCTGGAACAGGGTGAAGGGATGGGCAGAGCGCGGGGTCCCCAGGCTGGGCGGGGGGCAAGAGTCACATGGGGAGGTCACGTGCCCGGCCCCCTTTGTGTCCCTCCCACGAGTGCCGCTACCGGCGAGAAATGCGTGTCCTGCTTGCACCGCTGAGGAAGGGCCACGTTAATCCCGACCTGCTCTAGTCTTGGGGGCAGATCTAGAAAAAAACCATTCAGATGCTTCTCTTCCTTTCTGTGCAGCTATTTTCTTGGCTGTGTGAGCTGCCGAGAGTCACAAAATATCAACGTTCTTTCCCGCTGCGTTCCCATTTACAGACGTGCAGGCGCAGCAGACGCGATGCCTTTGGGAAATACAATTTTAGGCAACAACCAGGTTGTAATAGTAATCCCAAATGGGCTTTCAAAGAGGTTCTGTTCTCTGCTTGCTTTCCCTCCATTAATGCAGGTGTACTTTATACCATACCTTATAGGCCTTAGTTATATATGATGTGTTCTGAAGTAAGCGCTCCAATTTTTCATACTGGTGATACAGTATTCTTTAAATGTGGGGCAAACTTTGCTACAACATTGTTTCTTCAGCTGGTGCTTAGAAAATCATGCTTTACTATTAACCATCTGGACTGCTTGTTGGTCATTGATAAGTATATGCCTTATCACACCTAATTCTTTCAAGGATTTCCAAGCACTTTACTGCCATTAATTCATCCTAAAAAATCCCGTATGTGGAAAGATTTGTAATTAAAAAAAATAAAATGGGAAAAAAGTGAGCCACACAGAAGTTAGGTGATTTTCTCAAGATTAAGTGCCTCTCTAAGGCATACACACACACACAAACACACACACACAAAAACTGTTGGCAGGGCTGGACCTAGTAAGTGAATACAGCGGGGGAAAGAACCCCAGGGTGAAATCCTGATCCTATTGATGTCAATAGGTGTTTTGCAACTGCCTTTAACAGGGCCAGGATTTCACCCTAAGATTCCTGACTTTCAGCAGGAAACAGTGCTACAACTGTTAACGCATCCTACTTCTTTCCACACTTGTCATTGATTTCCTCTCTTTCCACCCTCCAGGTATTGTTTATTTTCCTCTACTAAGCATTCTTCTTCTCTGCTACATTAAGGGAAGATATGTGTAAGATCTTAGTACTTCTAGGTGTTGAGATCCTAGGAAATAATTCTGAACCCACTTTAATGTGCTTTTAGGACTAGTTTTAGGACATTTGGTGATGTTTACATGCAATAGCTTAATGGTGTTACTCTAGGCCCTTGTTCAATTTCTCTTACCTGTCTTTGATTGTTGCCTATCTTGTGGGGTTTCCTTCATCCTTAATATTGTAATGATTTAGCAAATTGATTATTTGTAAACTAGGTTGTGCCTTGGGCGTTTTTATGTGTGCAGATGTGTTTTATCAAAATCAATGAAAGGAACATACAGCTGTGACCTCCCTATATTTGAGGGCACTAATTTTACTTAACTACTAGTTGATACATATTTAAACCAGTATTTTTCACTCCCACACTGCTATGACATAGCAGTAGCTTCCCACTTTATTGCTTGCTTACTTTTTTAATCCCCATGGCATTGCAAAAACAAAATTGTTTCCAATATTTTTTCTCCAGTTGGTTGCCATAGTAACCACAGTAGTTGCCTCTTACAGATGGTTTTCTGGTGTCTTATATCACCTTAAAACTTTCAATGTCTTGATTTCAGTGTTTGCCAATAATCTTGTAACATTGTTTTAGTCTGTGATATTTAGACCCCATACTGTTGTCTGTCAAAATACATCACTGCATGAAAGGTAGTATACGAAGGGTGTGCCCATGCTAAGGACCTGATTCTGAAAGATTTTGAGAACTTCTGGCAGGTGCTGAGTGCTCTCAGGGTGGTGTTCAGAACCTTTCAGGACTGAACTCCAAGAGAGAAGACTTGCAGGGACACTTTTACATGAAGTGGTTTTCTGCACAGCTTGTCTTTGCAACAGTTTAGTGCAACCACACAGCAACACTCTTTCAGACAGAACCCATTTTGGTACCTCAACACACTGAGTGCACCTTACAACAACATTTGTACCAGTGCATCTTGGGACTCCTAAAATACATACCACACCGTTCCCAGCATTGTTGACAGGAGCAGGGGCTTTGGGGTAATTTCTGAATGTGAGCCATAGCATTGAAGGATAGAGTTTGGAGAACAAGCTGAACTTGGTGCAGTTCCAATATTTGTGTCTTTCTGCTCACATTGCAAAGAAATCATTGTAGGTAACACTAGTGCCACTGAACAGGAGCTAAAGGTCTCCTCCTGCATGTCTACAGTCAATCAATACAGCTGACACAGCTGTTGTGCGTGGACACAATCCAACAGGCTTTAGGCATTCCAACCAATGAGGGGTCTGTTTGATATTTACCTACTTGAGTCTGGGCCTGGAAGTTATGAAATCTCATAGCCCTGGATTTTCTGATGTCGGGAATTGAGTAGGCAAAAGTCCAGCTGGAGAATGGAGCTCAAGGCTCTTCACCCAGGGAACAGCAAGGTAAGGCTATGACCCTCAGATTTTTACACTGTAAAGGGCCAACCCTGGAAACCTGTACTCACTCAGGCAATCCCACTGACTTCAGTGGGACTACTGGTATGAGGAAGGCTTTCAGGATTGGGCTCTACATAATTAATTGCAGTAACTTGGCCTTGCAGGCACTCCTGGTCTCCAGGCAGACCTGTGAACAGCAGCAATTAGGTGGAAAAAGAGCGTTGAAAGATTCCGAATGACCCAGCAAAAGTGCTATTATGCAGAGACTGCAAATTTACATAATGCTCCATTGGTTCCAAACTGCAGAACACTTGTAAAGTACGGCAGTGTGCTGTACTAAGCTGTGGTCACCTCATCCTGTAGCTACAGTATCTGCATAACGTTTGCAGTCACCGATTCAAAGCAGAGAAGGGCACACCGTACGCCTGTCTAGACAGGCCGCTGGGAGAAAAATTCAGACCTAAAGACTCAATGGGCAGCTTGATGACTAGGTTCCCTTCATGTTATTTTGCCACAAGAGAAATCTTAACCATCTACACTGTCTAGTGCACCTTGAGAGATTTAATCTTAGCACGTCACAGAGATACTGCACCTACTTAATTTTAAAGACAAGGCTCTGCTGTTGGCATCGATATCTTGATACAGGGCAGCAAAAAACTGGCTAGGAAGTTATACTGAGAATCCTAAAAAACTTAACCAGGAGACCAGCAACTCTAAGGGCAATGTTTTTAAAGGCAATCACACAGCCATATTTTGGAAGTCCCTGCTACAGCAGGCTATTGAAAAGAACTCCAATATCTTGGCAGATGGAAGACACAACAAGTTTGCTCTTTGGTGCCTACATGTCTGAAACTCATTAGGAGCCACACAAAATAAATAAATAAATAAAAATCATTAAAACTCCAGATATTTTCATCATGTTAACATAGAAACCCTGCCCTAGCAATATGTGAATAGCAATAATTCCTGGATGGTATTAGGCAGCTTCACTCAAACCTTGACAATGCATTTATCTCAGAGGTATAGCAATTTCTGACATGGGGCCAGTATGTTAAAGAAAGCTCATTCTCGAAGTAGTAAGAAAAAATAGGCTATGTACTTGGGACAACATGACCACTGCCATACTTTTCCATACATTGACAAAGGAGAGAGGTGGTGGAAAACCCTACTCACACCTTCCACTTCGGAAGTATAAAATTTCAAATCAAACAACAAAGTGTTTGGGATCTAATTCTGCTCTCAGTTACAACCATGCATCCCCTTTGACTTCAAAGGCGCTGCACAAATGTAACTCAGAGCAAAATATGGCCCAAGGTGTCTATCAAAGGTCATTGTTGAGACCACATCTGGTGAGTTCATATCTTGGATGATGATTTTAAGCACTTTTAGGAGCTCTTTATTGTCCATAGAGGAACTATTGAATGTCATTGAATCAAGACTACACAAATAGCACAGAATATGCCAGTTTGTAAACAGAGGAAGTCACAATGAGGCTGTGTGCTGATGGCCATAGGTTTGTCCGCAATGCTATGGTCAATAAACACAGTATGAAGTCTACTACTAGGCATTCCAATGCACCCAGTTCTAAAACAGAGAGTGACAGCAAGTTGCAGGGATAGGTATGTGTACAATGTAACACGCAGTGAGATGTTTATTCTCTAAGTCAGATTCTGTTCCTGGCTCCATACGGACTTCTTGCCTTCCCAGCATCTCAGCTTCCTCATATGTAAAACTGGGATAATTCCCTAAATCACAAGGATTTTTTGAGGTTTAATTCATTTGTGTTTCTAAAGCACTTTGAGATCTTTGGACAGAATTTCCCGTAAAAGTACAAATACAAGCACTGCGTGTAGAGCAGTGGTTCCCAAACTTCTTCCGTCGCTTGTGCAGGGAAAGCCCTTGGCGGGCCGGGCCGGGCCGGTTTATCTGCCACGTCCGCAGGTTCGGCCGATCGCTGCTCCCAGTGGCCGTGGTTTGCTGTTCCAGGCCAATAGGAAGTGGCGGTCAGTACGTCCCTCTGTCCGCGCCACTTACTGCAGCTCCCATTGCCCTGGAGCAGCGAACTGCAGCCACTGGGAGCCGTGATTGGCCGAACCTGTGGACGCGGCAGATAAACAAACTGGCCTGGCCCACCAGGGGCTTTCTCTGCACAAGCGGCGGAACAAGTTTGGGAACCCCTGGTGTAGAGAATCTGGTTGCCAAGAGGAAATAGGAGATATACTTACTTCATTGGCAGCAGCCCTTCAAAGAAGTGGATGTGCTTGGACAGTAAGGGTCAGAGGTGTTCTGCATTGTGGGGAAGGCAGAGAGAGAGACAGGACGCCTCCAGGATGCTACAGGAAGTGTACTCAAACGCAATCACTAGTACAACTTTAAAAAGGTACAGTACCATCATAGATATTCAGCTCAGCATTGGCATGGGAAAGAGAAAAGCCCTGGTCATTCCCTCAACTG